CCCCATCTCCTACCTACTAACCTCATCCCGCCCCCTTGACCTGTCCGTCCTCCCTAGACTGACCTATCTCCTCCCTACCTCCCCACCTACACTCACCTCTACTGGCTCCATCCCTGCCTCTTTGACCTGTCTGTCTCCTCTCCACCTATCTTCTCCTCTATCCATCTTCTATCCACCTCCCCCTCTCTCCCTATTTATTTCAGAACTCCCTTCCCTTCCCCCATTTCTGAAGAAGGGTCTAGGCCCGAAACGTCAGCCTTCCTGCTCCTCTGATGCTGCTTGGCCTGCTGTGTTCATCCAGCTCTACCCCTTGTTATCTCAGATTCTCCAAATGTAGTCTGTCTTAACAAAAACATACTCTAATGTTTCAAGTTACTCATTTGTATCTTCATCCGCAAGATGTGGCCATTGCAGGCTTGGTCAGCATTTATGGACCATTCCTAATGACCCTGAAGAAGTTGGTGGTGAGCTGCCTTTTTAAACTGCTGCAGTCTTTGGCGTGAGGGACACACAGTGCAGTATTAAGGAGGGATTTCCAGTGTTTTGACCCAGTGACAATGAAGGAACAGCAATATATTTCTATATTCAATGACTGACAGGACGCTGTGAAGCTCAGAGGAACAAAGGGATTTTGTGGTGGTTTTCCACAGATCCCTGAAGGTGGCAGAGCAGGTTAATAGGGCAATTAAGAAGGCATATGGGATGCTTGCCTTTATCAGTTGTGGCATAGATTGTAAAACAGGAAGGTCATGTTGGTAAGACCGCCAAAGAACTGTGGATACTTGAAATCAGAAACAAAAACAGAAATTGCTGGAAAAACACAGCATCTGTGGAGGGAAAGCAGAGGTAATGTTTCATCTAACGTTTTAGGCCTTCCTTAGAACTGATTGTAGGTAGGAAAAGGTTGGTATATATGATAAAGATGGGATGGGGGCAGGGGGAAGGAGTAAACAATGGGCAGAGATGGATCCCAGAGAGAGAGAGAGAAAAACAGTTGGGCAGACTGGAATGTAAAGGGGGAATGAGTAACTGCTAATGAGGACCATTATGGCTGACAATGGATTGCTTTTGGTAGCAGTCCATGTGATGACAAGGCCTAGGATGTGCTGGTTAGGATAAGGACTTGGGAGAAGGTGCCATAAAATTGTTGAGCTAGATATTGAGTCCAGAAGGTTGCAAAGTTCCAAAGCAGAAAATAAATTGCTGTTTTTCCAGTTTGTGCTGAGATTATGTTGGAACTGTATAAAATGTAGGTTAGGTCACAGCTGGGGTACAATGCGCAGTTCTGGTCTCCACACTATTGGAAGGTTATAATTGTAGTGGAGGGGGTTTTGAGGAGATTCACCAGGATGTTGCCGTTTGATATCCTGGGACAGTTCCGCAGAAGTGCTGAAGCCGAAGCCATCTGCTCACTAGGACTATCAGCAAAGAGGCCCTAGGCTTCTGTAGTTATGATCCAGGTACTTTGTCTGGTCGAGTGGCACCCTGCAGTGTAATTCTGCAAGGTTGTCAGGCATTGTGATCACTGCACTGTCTTTCATGAACTTCTGTCATTAGTTTAGGCGCCATGGTATGGTGACTTATAAAGCTTGTCACTGTGTTTTTTGTAAAAATACATGTTACAATAAATTGCTATTCTCTTCTTTCCATAGAAGTGTGAACTTTTAATACGGGAGGGCAATGGATTCACATAGCTGATCAGAGGATCAGGGGTAGCAGAAGCTGAAATAAAAGAAAGAAGTAGACATGCAGGAAGAGGAAGGTATAGATCACTCAGTTGTCTGGCCTCCCAGGGATGCTGCCAGGCTTGATGTGGCAGTGAGGGATTCATGTGATGTCATCAACATCAATAAATATCTGATGTAAGCACATTCCATGGAGCCCTTCTAAGCTAGGAGGATGGGATTCTCCAGAACTTATTTTGAATTGCCTCTGAACACACTTCCATTGAAGATGTAACGTTGAATAGAGTCACACAATTTTCTGATCAAGAACCTTTGCTCCTTTCATCATTTCTTCTCTCTTCTGTACCACAATTAATAAAAGGAAGTTCAAATGCTAAGCCTTCAAGTGTCAACATTTAAACGGTGTTCCAAAAGAGAAAGTCTGCACAGTTACAGTTGAAACAAATCCCAATGACCCACTCATTACTCTGCCTATTGGAGAGGTTTCTGCTTTGGATCACTTCTTTCAACTGTCTCCTTGTGGCCTTGGGTGAGATAGACACAGGGTCTGGCTAAGATGCATGTGACAATTATCCTCATGAGGGAGGTCCCGATGGGGACCTGAGGAAAATCCCAAAATATGGACTGAATCTGTTACAATTGGTCTAAATAGAGATCTGTGCAAGACTGTGTTCTTAACCTTTTGAGAGGATCTGCCCATTGGTGCCTTCTCCTGAATTTTGGCAACTTAAAAAAGATAAGTTTTACTTGTTTTTTTGTTGTGTCTTTCCGCATCAGACAACAGAGGAAGAAAAAGAGTTACAACAGAAAATTAAGATAATCTGGGAAAATCTGTTTGATGAGGCACATAAGATTGACCACAGACTAGGCACTGTAAAGAAGAAGTTCACTAAGGTAATGGATATTACTGTTCATTTGTTTCCTGTAGTTTGTTATTCTTACCTTTGTCATCTCCAAAATTCTAAAGCTAACATGTCAGCCTCCCACCATCCACCCTCTAAAATTGAGCTGACCCAAATCTCTGCTGTCCAAATTCACAGTGAGTCCAATTTGTTTATCTCTACTGTGCTTACTGATCTACATTGACCTCCTATCCAGGAGTAAGATTTTAAGATTCCCATCCTTATTCTGAAATTCCTGTATAGCTTTGGCCTTCCCTATTTCAATGACTACAACCCTCTTGAGTTATCTGTGCTTCTCCAATTCTAGACTTCACCAATGTTAATGATAACAAAGTGTGGAGCTGGAGGAACACAGAAAGCCAGGCAGCATCAGAGGAGCAGGAAAGTTGATGTTTTGGGTTGGGACCCTTCTTCAGAAATGGGGAGGGGGAAGGGAGCTCAGAAATAAATAAAGAGAGGAGGGATGGGGCTGGGGAAGGTAGGTGGGATGGTGATAGGTGAGTGCAGGTGAAATCCATGTTTAAGTAATTCTTTAACCTCTGTAATTCCCTCCCTAAATTTCTCTCCTGCCCCTCCAGGAAGTGGGAGAATACATTAAGCTGGGCACCAGAGGGTGTGGTACATTGGTAATGATTTGAGTTTGTGAAGATGCATGAAAACATGCTTGGGCTTGCAGAGAGGAACCTTCTGTGAAATTTGCTAAAAGTGACACTTGGCCAGTTTCTGGTTAGATTCAGTCCTCTGAGTCTATGTTGGTCTGTAACTGCCCAGCAAATTTCATGTGCCTACCTTTTTCTCTCATTGATGTTATTTGACTAAATGCTTAATTTTTTTTACCGTGGGTGGGAGCAGCAGAGTTGGCATTTACTGCCTATCCTTTGCTGCACTCAAAACTAGTGGTGGACCTATTTCATGAACTGCTGAATCCAAATTATGACAGTGCTCCTACAGCACTGTTAGCCCTGAAATGGGCCTAATGGCCTGCTTCCACACTGTGATCTATGATTCTATGATCCATGACAGCCCAGTATATCCATCCAGCAACAATGGATTAAAATTATTGCAGATTTCATTGCATTTTTGCTCATGCCACTACGTCAATACTTATGATCAGAGGTATAGATAGAGTGGATAGCCAAAGACTTTTTCCTAGGGTAAAAGTAGCTATTACGAGGGGGCATAGTTTTAAAGTGAGTGGAGGTAGAAAAAGGGGAGATACCAGAGGTAGGTTCTTTACTGAGAGGGTGTTAGGGGCATGGAATGCATTGCCGGAGAGCGTAGTGGAGTCGGCCTCATTAGGGGCCTTTAAGCGACTATTAGATAGGCATATGGATGATAGTATAAGGTAGGGGTGGAGGCGAGATAGACCTTAGGTTTAGGGTAAAAGTTCGGCACAACATCGTGGGCCGAAGGGCCTGTACTGTGCTGTAAAGTTCTATGGTCTATGTTCTACGTTTATGAACTTTCTGTTGATTCTGCACCCAGTGAAGCTTATTTTTCTCTGTTCAATTTAACATTAGCTAAAATAGTTTTCATTGTTGGATTTCAGACCACCATGCAAGAAATCAAAACATTTGCATCAAATCTTGCTGCTTTTGCTTCAAGATTCCGACAGCAAGGCCCAAGTTCGGTGGGAGAAGATTTGGATAGAGGTTAGCAAACCAAACCAAACAACTACCTTAATGCAAACCAAAAATGATATGCTCTATAAACATTCTTACATAGTTAATTTTCCAAAAGATTTAACTGTACAAAGGGATTAAGTTGGGAGTTTTCACAGTCTTGCTAATTTCATTTACGTTTATTTTCAGTGATGTTTGTAACTTTTTATTGAATCACAGAATGATTCAAATGGATGTAGCTCAGGAGGCATTTTCAGTCCTCCAGCTTAATGCCAGGACTTTGAAAAAGCAGTTTAGCTTTTCCATTTCCCCACTCCATCAGAAAAATATTCTTCTTCAGATAATTAGTAAATATCCTTTTGAAAGCTAAGACTGAGTCTGCTTTCAAGTAGTAAAACATTTGTGTGGGAAGGAAGTATAATCAACATAAGGGCTAATGTTCATGCTGTGAAGTTGTTCGGCTCAATGTTGAATCCTGAAAGCTGTAAAGTGCCTAAGCAGAAAATACTTTTCCTGCAGTTTGTGCTTGGCTTCACTGGAGCAGAGTGGCAGATTTAGGACTGAAACGTTAGTGTGAAAGCAAGAGGATAGCTAGAAAGTACTTTTCCTGCAGTTTGTGCTTGGCTTCACTGGAGCAGAGTGGCAGATTTAGGACTGAAACGTTAGTATGAAAGCAAGAGGATAGCTAGAAAACCGAGAATTGTGAAACTGATGTAAATTGTCAGAAAAATCACAAATGTAAGTGGGAAGATACTAGACAAGGTTAGGGACATGCTTGCAGATGAAGTAGATGTATTCTACAAAGCAAACCTCATTACAGCCTGGTTCAAACATGGACAAAAGAGCTGAATTTCAGAGACGAGGTGAGAGTGACAGCACTTGACATCAGGGCTGCATTTGACTCAGTGTGGCATCAAGGAGCCCTAGCAAAACTGGAATCAGGGGCCATACTCTCCACTGTTTGGAGTCATAACTGGCTGTTGGAGGTCATCCATCTCAGTGCCTGGTCATCTTTGCAAGAGTTTGTTAGGGTAGTGTCCTAGGCCCAACCATCTTCAGCAGCTTCGTCAATGACTTTCCTTCTTTCATAAGGTCAGAAGTGGAGATGTACGCCGATGATTGCACACTGTTCAGTGCAATTTGCAACTCCTCAGTCCATGTTCAAAAGCAGCAAGATCTGGACAACATCCAGGTTTGGGCTGACAAGTGGCTAGTATCATTCACACCACGCACTTGCCAGGCAATAACCATCTCCAATAAGAGATAATCTAACCACCCCTTGACAGTCAATGGTATTACCATTGACTGCAGCTCCAAAAACACACAAGAAGCTTGTAACCATCCAGGATTAAGCAGCCCATTTGATTAGAACCACATCCATAAAATACATCCACTCCATCCAGTTCTGACATTCAGTAGCAGCAGTGTGTACAGTCTACAAGATGCACTGCAGAAATTCATCAAGTCTGAAGTCACACGACACCAGGTTATAGACCAACAGGTTTATTTCATCCAATAAATCTGTTGGATTATAGTCTGGTGTTTGTGTGACTTCTAACTTTGTCCACACCAGTCCAACACCAGCACCTCCACATCATGAAATTTACCAAGGCTCCTTAGCATCTTCCAAACTCGATGACCACTTCCATCTAGAAGGACAAGGGCAGCAGTTGCCTGGGAATGCCACCACCTGCAAGTTCCTCTCCAAGTCACTTGCCATCCTGACTTGGAAAGATATCACTGTTTCTTCACTGTTGCCTGCTCAAAATCTTGGAATTCCCTCCCTAAGGGGATTGTTGGTTGACCTGCAGCACATAGACTACAATGGTTCAAGAAAACAGCTCAATGCCACCTTCTGAAGGGCAACTAGGGCTTGCTTCACCTTGACAATATGTTTGGCATCTTGGACAATGAGGAGAGAGGAGATGAATGGGTAAGTGTTCCATCTTCTGCGATTGCATGGGAAGGTGCTATGGTGCAACGTGCAACTGATAGGGTTAGTGGAAGAACGACCAGGATATCATGGAGGGAATGGTCCCAGTGGAATGCTGACAAGAGAGTGGGAGTGGTGACGATGTGTGCTGTGGTGGTATCCTGCTTGAGATTGCGGAAATTGTGGAAGGTAACCCTTTGAATGCAGAAGTGCGTGGGTTAGAAAGAACAAGAGCAACCCTATCATTGATCTGGGAGTGAGCAGAAGGAGTGAGGGTAGAATTACATGGCTGAGGGCCCTGTCATCCACTGTCATTTAAGGAAAAGGAGGACATATCAGAGACACTGCTGTGGAACAGAAATGAAGAAACTGGAAGAATGGAATGGAATCCTTACAGGAAGCAGGGTGTGGGGAGGTGTATTCGAGGTAATTGTGGGAGTCAGTGCATTTGTAATAGATATCAGTGCCCATTCCCTGGAATGGAAACAGTAAAGTCAGAGAAGGGAAGGCACACATCAGAGGTGGACCAGGTGACGGTGAGAGAAGGATGAAAATTGGAAACAAAACTGATTAAGTTTTCAAACTCCAGAAAAGGAATGGAAACAGCACCGATGATGTCATCAATACACTGAAACAAAGAGTTTTTGGAGACCAGAGGAAGAAAAGTTGCTGGCTCAGTCGTTAACACTGCTAACTCACAGTGCCAGGGAGCCGGTTCAATTCTAGTTTCGGGTGACTGTCTGTGTGGAGTTTTCACATTCTCCCCGTGTCTGCGTGGGTGTCGTCCAGGTGCTCCAGTTTCCTCCCACACTCCAAAGATGTGCAGGTTAGGTGGATTAGCCATGCTAAATTGCCCGTAGTGTCCAGGGATGTGTAGACTAGGTGGATTAGCCATGCTAAATTGCCCGTAGTGTCCAGAGATGTGTAGGCTAGGTGGATGAGAAGGTACAGGGTTGCAGGGATAGGGTGGGATGCTCTTTCGAGGGTCAGTGTGGACTTGTTGGGCCAAATGGCCTGTTTTCACACTGTAGGGATTCTATAATTCTATGATAATCCACAAAGAGACAGGTGTAACTGGGACCAATGCAGATACACATGGCCACACCTTTGACTTGGAGAATTCAAGACAAGTTAAAGGAGGTAAAGGAGGAAATAGAGTCATACAGCATAGAAACAGGCCCTTAGGCTCAACTTGTCAATGCCAACCAGGTTTCCTCTAAACCTTCCTCTCCATGTGCCTGTCCAAATGTCATTTAAATGTTGTAATTGCACTTGTTTCTACCACATCCTCTGGTAGCTCGTTCCATATATGCGCCACCCTCTGTGTGAAAATGTTGCCACTTAGATCCCTTTGAAATCTTTCCTCTTTCACCTTAAACCTATGCCTCTTGGTTTGGACTCTTTATACTGTTAGATAATCTTCTACACTATCCACTATACTACCAATTTTGGTGTAACGCTCAAACGTACTAACCATGCCGTCTGTATTCTCATCCAGAGCATTTATATAAATGACCAACAACAGTGACCCAGCACCAATCCTTGAGGCACACCGCTGGTCAGAGGCCTTAAGTCTGAACAACAATCCTCTACTACCACCCTCTGACTCCAACTGCCAAGCCAATTTTGTATCCAATTGGTTAACTTTCCCTGGATACCATGTGATCTTATCTTACTAGTCTAACATGCAGAACCTTGTCAAAGGCCTTGCTAAAGTTGATGTAGATGTATACCATGCTGCCTCCATCTGTGTTCTTGGTCATCTCTTCAAAAAACTCAATTAAGTTTGTGAGCCATGACTTCCCATGCATTAAGCCATACTGACTATCCCTAACCAGTCCTTGCCTTTCCAAATGCATGTAGGTCCTGTCTCTCAGAGTTCCCTCCAACAACTTGCCCACTACTGACATTGGTCTCACTGGTCTGTAGTTGCCAGGCTTTCCTTTGCAGCCTTTCCTAAGTAATGGCACAACATTAACCATCCTTCAGTCTTCCAGCATCTCATCTGTGGCTGTCAATGATACAAATATTTCTGCTAGAAGCCCCGCAATTTCTTCATTAGCTTCCCACAATGTCCTGGGCTATACTTGATCAGGCCTGCGGATTTATGTACTTTTATGTAATTTAAGACCTTCAGCACCTCCTCTTCTGTAATGTGGACTGTTTTTAAGACATCACAATTTATCTCACTGAGTTCCTAGCTTCCATTGTCTTTCTCCACAATAAATACGATGCACAATGTTTGTTTAAGATTTCATCCATCTGCTGTGGTTCCACACTTAGATGGCTTCGTTGATCTTTAAGGGGCCCTATTCTCTCCCTAGTTACTCCTTTGCCCTTAATATACACTTGTAAAATCTCTTTGTATTCTCTTTAACCTTTTCTGCCAAAGCTATCTCATATCCCCTGTTACCTTCCTGAGTTTCCTCTTAAGTGTACTCCTGCACCCCTGATACTTTTCAAGGGATTCCCAGCTGTCTAGATCTGACATATGCCTCCTTCCTTTACTTGAGCAGAGCCTCAATATTTCTACTCATTCATTGTTTCCTGCTCCAGTCTTGCCCTTCCCACTTGCAGGAACATGATGGCCCTGGTCTTGCTTTTGAAAGCCTCCATCTTGCCAAGCATCCTGCAAACAGCCTCCCCCAATCAACTTTTGAAAGTTCCTGTCTAATACATCAATATTGGCCTTGCCCCAATTTAGAACTTTAACTTGTCGACCAGGCCTATCCTTTTCTATAACTATTTTAAAACAAATAGAATTATGGTCACTGGTCCCAAAGTGCTCCCTCAGTAACACCTCAGACACTTGCTGTGCTTTATTTCCCAAGAGCAGGTTGTGTTTTGCCCCATCTCTAGTAGGGCTATCTACATATTGATTGAGAAAGTTTTCTTGACACATTTAACAAATTCCTCCCCATCCAACCCTTAACACTATGGCCGTCCCAGTCTACATTTGGAGAGTTAAAATCTTCTACTATTTTTGTAGTGATTGTAACGAGGCCAGGCAGATGGACCTCATAGAATATGAGATCCCTGACTGGGGCTGTTAACCTGGTCCAATCAGGGAAACCTGGCTGATACATATAACCAGGAGTGGCAGAGGTTCTGTTCACTCTAGGAACTGGCTCCATGCTAGCTGGATCGGTGTCATTTACTGTGCACATCTTCCCTAATCAAAAATGCTTTCCCCCGCTAATATCTTGCCTCCCCTTCTTTTCTTCCTATAGCATCTATACCCCAGAACATTGAGTTGCCAGTCCTGTCCATCCCTCAGCCATGTTTCTGTAATAGCTATGATATCCTGGTCCCATGTTCCCAACCTTGCGCTGAGTTAATCTGCCTTAACTGTCAGGCTTTTTACATTGAAGTTAATGCAGTTTAATTTATTAGTCTTTACTCATTCTCTGCCATGCTGTTGCTAGCTTTGTCTATTTAACATGGTCTGTTTAACTTCTGTACCAGCCTCAACCTTCTCTCTTGTCTCACTACAGCGTAGGGTCCCATCCCCTGACAGACTGGTTTAAATTGTTTCCAAACTAGTTTAGAAATTGTTCAAAGTGAGAATGAGCTCAGCCGGTGGAGGAGGCTGTGGTTGATGGGGTCTATTAGGCCTTCTTTTAAGGAAAAACCAGAGAACCTTCAGACCACTCTGGATTGGGGAATGCATGTGTGGAAGGATTGCGGATCCATTGTGAAAAGGATAGCTAGAAAACTAGGAATTGTGGGACTAACATAAATTGTCAGAAAAATCACAAATGTAATTGGACAACAGGGGAAAAGGTAATGTCAAGAATGGAAGAAGTAAATTCAGTGGAGCAGGAACAGGCTGAAACAATGGGTTTGCCAGGGAGTCCTGTCTGAATTTTGGGAAGGAGGTAGAAGTGGACTTTGCAGAGTTATGGATTATACAGTTGGAAGCTGCAGAGCGGAGATCTCCGGAGGAGATGAGGTCAGTGACAATCCTGGAAACAACAGCTTGATGTTCAGTGGCGGGGTCATGGTCCAGGTGTAGATAGGAGGAAGTGTCTGAGAGTTGGTACTCAACCCCTGCCAAGTGGGGATCTGCACACCAGACAATGACAGCACCCCTCCTTATCAACTGAGTCAGGTTTAGACCTGAGAGAACAGAGTGCATTTAGTTTAGAAGGAGACAGGTTAGAGTAGGGGAGGGGGGAGAAGCAATGAAGGCAGTTGATTTCAAGTTGACAGTTCTCGATGACAAGATTAAGTGCAGAGAAGACGCCAAAGGGAAGACTCCAGGTGGAGGGTGAGTATTGGAAATGAGTGAAAGAGTTCGTCAAACAGGGAGAGCACTGTTGTCCAAATAAGTGGGCATCGAGACAAAGGCAGTGGAAGGGTGTAGCAACAACATAGTGGTAACATCACTGGATTAGTAATCCAGAACCCCAGGCTAATGCTGTGGGAACATGAAATTAAAATTCACATGCCAGATGGTGAAAGCATCGAATGAGACAAAGGCTGAAATGGAAATGGGGACCAGGATACCTTTGAGATAGTGTGAGGCGGTGCTGATGGAGAGAATGGTTGAGAGTATGCTTGTGGACACATGGCACTGAGCATAGATCTCAGAATGTAGTGGGAGCAGCTGTATGAGGAACATTCTATGTCTTGGTGATGCCAGTAATCCTGGCAGATTTGAATCATGAAGGATGGAATTTCAGCTGGAATCCACAGGGGGTGGGTGCGGAGGTGCTGGAGAAAGCCACTGAAGAAGGAGATGTGGCTGTGTAAATGAGTGGAATGGGTGGCGAGGGTGCTCAGATCAAAAGAAAGGGAGTGCTAATGGAAGGAGAGGAGAGATATAGTCCATGCCAGTGTTTATGTTTCCAATGAGCATCCTCCTGTTTACTTCATTTCATCCTATGAACACATTCTTTTATTCCTTTCCCCCTTGTAAATAAATATTGCTTCTTGTTTGCATTCAGGAAAAGCTGCCAATTTCAAGATGCTTTTGTGTCTTCAATGTTTAATGCAGGGCTTGAGATCTTGGGAAAATTTGAAAATGAGGTGGAAGAATTTGAGCGAAACCGTCAAGAACTGGCGAATGCTGAAAAGCTTTTTGATCTGTCAATTACAATGCACCCTGAGCTGCTGTCACTTCAGAAGGAAATTAAAGGCTTACGATTGATCTATGACATTTACAAAGCACAGCGGGTATGTTTTTATCGCTTAATTAATGTATTCACACTTTGTCTAATAATTCATGCTGTATTGGAACTATGGAGTGTGATTATTGCACAAGCTTTGTCTCTTAGGACAACCTGTTGTGTCTGAAACTCCAGCGATTTCAAAAGACTTTCCTTGTATCTAGCATGGTGGTGTATCTATGCCCTAACATCCCACACAAAGAAATATAACAAAAATTCACTGATGTCACAGCACAGTGAAGTCTTAAGAAATGGAATCACAAAGAAAGGCATATTGGCTTCTTGCTCTGCTCAGCTGACTTGCTAATGAATTCCTCCATGGTGCTGGGCATGGAGATAAAGTTTTGTCAGTAAAGTAAGGAGCTATCACATTGTCAGATATATGCACTACCTGATGCTTGATCAGGAAAAGCATTGAATATGGTGTTATGGCCAAACATTGGACGTTAGAAGATGGTTTTGTTTATAATGTTTCTCTAATTCAAGGTAAAATCGAGTAAGGAACAGGAACAAGTGATGTGTAACTGGATCCACCTTATGATAAGAGATAGTAGGAACTGCAGATGCTGGTGAATCCGAGACAACAAGGTGCAGGGCTGGATGAACACAGCAGGCCAAGCAGCTGCACCTTGTTGTCTCCACCTTATGATAAACCTCTTTTGCTAGGTGGTTATGGGGATGGGGAACCCCGGTTGAATGCACATGCCAGGTGTAATACCTGAAAAGAAAGGACAGAGCAAATAATTTAGTGACATGTAGATGTGCAGACTCTCAGACAGTTTGACTCAGAAAAACTCCTGAAAACAAAGAGAAACATGGGAGAATACCAGCTGCTGTGAGTAACAGGGAATAGGCTGTTCTTTGTTAGCTGGCAAGCAGAATACTGGTGCGAGCTTGGTCTCGTCAAAGACACATAACCTGTGGTACATTTGGCAAGAAATTTGCCAGTGTGACCATGCAGCTGATTAAGGGATTTTGAGAAGACTGAGGGAAGCAACTTTGAATAATCATGGGATGTCATTGACTCAGCAAAATGAAGGAAACATACCTTTTGGAAGCTGGAAGTAACTTAGTTTGGTTCCTGTGAAGGCTAAAGGCAGAATTGTCTACTGCCTTGAGCAGCAGGCACAATGGCAAGAAAACTGGGAATGTATGATAAGCATGAAAAATCAGATTCCTGAAATGTAGAAAAACTTCACAATTTTTTCATTAAGGTTTAAACTGCAGGTTCTGAATCTTGTAAATAAGCAGTGACTACCTTATTTCCTTGTATTTGGAACTCAGTAGCTAATCTTGCCTCCTTTTTTACCCCCTATTCTCCCCCCTTTCCGTGAAAGTAGACAGTGCCAATTCTCTACTTCAGCTTAGTTGTCGATGCTAGGAGGTAAAGGGGATTCCCTCTAGAAAATTTACTCGATAAAAATTTGCTGATACAGGGCAGTAATGGAGGTTGTCTGACTGCTGTGTTGTACAGGTTTAATTTGAAATTTGAGCTAATGTCTGATATTGTACTTGCGGGAATTGTGTCAAAGTACTGCAGATATTCATGTTAATTGGGAAATGACCCAGTTGTATCCAAGATGTTCCTTCTCCAGTAGTTCAAGAAAAGACAAGTGACATTGTTAAAACTAAAAACGTGGAAGAGAAATTTAATGTCATTTGAAAGTTCTTTTCCTTTTACAATCCTGCTATGTTTCAACTTAAAACATGCCCAAAGTTTCAAAGTTATTCTGTTGTTATTACTCTGTTGTTATTACTCTGTTGACTTTGAAATATCACACTGCCAACTAAGGATTAATAGTAGTTGAAAAATAAGTGGAAGCTGTCTAAACTATGAATAGCAGCATAACTTGAGCAAAGGATGTTAAACCAGATTGCAGGAGCACTCCAAGCTAATAATGAAAGAATGGAAACCATTGCTTTAAAACCAAAGCAGTCAGCTACAGCCAATACTGATAGCGCAGGGTTATGAGGAAATATTCATGTTCTTAAAAGTAACCAAAACTACTGCTGCCGACACAAAGATAAGTAAAAAGTAAGTTGTGAAGAGGACCTATGAAAGCTGTGAAGGAGTGTAAATAGATTAAGTAAATCGCCAAAAATCTAGCAAATGGAATATCATGTGAGAAAATTACCAACTTTATATTACAGAATGGCCATGACTGGGAGTTAAATATCCAGGGGTATCAAACTGTTTGGTAGGACAGACAGGAAGGTAAGGGAGGTGGTGTTGCTCTGATTTTTAAGGATGATATCAGGGCGGTAGTGAGAGATGATATAGGTTCTATTGAACAAAACGTTGAATCCATTTGGGTGGAAATTAGGAATAGCAGGGAGAAGAAGTCACTGATAGGTGTGGTCTATAGGCCACCAAATAATGACATCGTGGTGGGATGGGCAATAAACATAGAAATAGCTAATGCATGTAAAAATGGTACAGCAATTATCATGGGGGATTTTAATCTACATATCGATTGGTCAAACCAGGTCGGTCATGGCAGCCTTGAGAAGGGGTTCATAGAATGCATCCGTGATAATTTCCTTGAACAATATGTAATGGAACCTACGAGGGAGCAAGCTATCCTAGATCTAGTCCTGTGTAATGAGACAGGAACAATTAATGATCTCACAGTTAGGGATCCTCTCGGAAGGAGTGATCACAGTATGGTCGAATTTAAAATACAGATGGAGCGTGAGAAGGTTAAATCCAGTACCTATGTCCTGTGCTTAAACAAAGGAGACTATGAAGGAAGGAGGGAGGAGTTAGCTAAGGTAGAATGGGAGCAAAAACTTTATGGTGGGTCAATTGAGGAACAGTGGAGGACTTTCAAAACGATTTTTCACAGTGCTCAGCAGAAGTATATTCCAGTGATAAGGAAGAACTGTAGGAAAAGAGAGAGCCAGCCATGGATGTCTAAGGAAATAAAGGAAAGTATCAGTTTGAAAAAAAAACACACAAAAAAGCAAAGAGTAGTGGGAAACTAGTAGACTGGGAAATCTTTAAAGGCCAACAGAAAGCCACAAAAAAAAGTTATAAAGAAAAGTAAGATCGATTATGAGAGTAAACTAGCTCAGAATATAAAAACAGGCAGCAAAAGTTTCTATAAATATGTAAATCGTAAAAGAATGGTGAAGGTAAACATTGGTCCTTTAGAGGATGGGAAGGCCAATTTAATAACTGGAAATGAGGAAATAGCCGAGACGTTAAACAGTTATTTCGTGTCGGTCTTCACAGTGGAAGACACAAATAACATGCCGAAAACTAATGGCAAGAAGGTTATAGCAGGTGAGGACCTAGAAACTATTATCATCACTAAGGAGGAGGTGCTGGGCAAGCTAATGGGGCTAAAGGTAGACAAGTCTCCTGGCCCTGATGAAATGCATTCCAGGGTACTAAGAGAGGTGATGGGGGAAATAGCAAATGCACTAGTAATTATTTACCAAAATTCACTGTACTCTGGGGTGGTTCCCGCAGATTGGAAAACAGCCAATGTGAAGCCACTGTTTAAAAAAGGAAGTAGACAAAAAGCAGGTAACTATAGGCCAGTTAGCTTAACTTCGGTAGTGGGGAAAATGCTTGAATCTATCATTAAGGAAGAAATAGCAAGACATCTGGATATTAATTGTCCCATTGGGAACACCCAGCATGGGTTCATGAAGGGTAGGTCATGTTTAACTAATTTGGTGGGATTCTTTGAGAATGTTACTTGCATGGTGGACAATGGGGAACCTGTGGATGTGGTGTATCTGGATTTCCAGAAGGCATTTGACAAGGTGCCACACCAAAGGGTGCTATATAAGATAAAGTTGCACGGTATTACAGGTAATGTATTGGCATGGATAGAGGATTGGTTGACCAGTAGAAAGCAAATAGTAGGGGTAAATGGGTGTTTTTCTGGTTGGCGGTCAGTGGCTAGTGGTGTGCCTCAGGGATCAGTGTTGGGACCTCAATTGTTTACAATTTACATAGATGATTTGGAGTTGGGGACTAAGTGTGGTTTGTCAAAATTTGCAGATGACAATAAGATAAGTGGAAGAGCAAAGTGTGCAGAAGACGCTGAAAGTGTGCAGAGGGATATAGATGGTCTAAGTGAGTGGGCAAAGGTCTGGCAGATGGAGTACAATGTTGATAAGTGTGAGGTCATCCATTTTGGTAGGAATAACAGCAAAATGGACTATGTTTTAAATGGTAAAAAAACTGCAGCACGCTGCTGTGCAGAGAGACTTGGGTGTCCTTGTGTATGAATCGCTAAAAGTAGGATTTCAGGTGCAACAAGTAATTAAAAAGGCAAATGGAATTTTGTCTGCCATTGCTAGAGGGATGGAGTTTAAAAACAGGGAGGCTATGCTGCAGCTGTATAGGGTCCTGGTGAGGCCACACCTGGAGTACTGTGTGCAGTTTTGGCCTCCTTACTTGAGAAGAGATATACAAGCACTGGAGGGGGTGCAGAGGAGATTCACTCGGTTGATTCCAGAGTTGAGAGGGTTGGATTATGAGGAGAGACTGTGTAGACTGGGATTATACTCATTGGAATTCGGAAGAATGAGGGGAGATCTTATCGAAACATATAAGATTATGAAGGGAATAGATAAGGTGGAGGCAGGGAGGTTGTTTCCACTAGCAGGTGAAACTAGGACTAGAGGGCATAGCCTCAAAATAAAGGGAAGCAGATGTAGGACTGAGGTCAGGAGGAACTTCTTCACCCAAAGGGTTGTGAATCTGTGGAATTCCCTGCCCAGTGAAGCGGTTGAAGCTACCTCGCTGATTGTTTTTAAGGCAGGGCGAGATAGATTTTTGAACAGTAAAGGAATTAAGGGTTAAGGTGAGCGGGCAGGTAAGTGGAGCTGAGTCTCAAAAAGATCAGCCATGATCTTATTAAATGCGGGGCAGGCTCGAGGGGCCGGATGGCCTCCACCTGCTCCTAGTTCTTATGTTCTTATGTTTAGCAGGAAGAATGAAAAATAAACTTACTTAAATGGTGAGATTTCATAGCTCTGAAATGCGTGGGTATATGGTCATAGTACTGCATGAACTACAAAAGGTTAGTATGCAGTGACAGTCAGTAATTAGGAAAGCAAATAGAATGTTACTGTTTATTGCAAGGGGAATTGAATGTAAAAGTATAAAGTTATGTTTCAGATGTGCAGAGCATTAGTGAGAACACATACTGCGGATAATATCGGTTTCCTTACGTAAGAATTGATGTAAGTGCATTGGACATAATTCAGAGAAGGTTTGCTAGATTAATACCTGTATTGGCAGGGGCAGGGTTGTGGTCATCTTAAGGGGAAAGAGTTAACACACTAGCTTGTATCTGCTGGAGGTTCGAACAGTAAGAGGCAAATTAATTGAAATACGTAAAGTCCTAAGAGGGCTTAAGAGGGTCTATGTGGAATGGACATTTCCTCAATGGGATAATCTAGAACTAAGAGTCACTGTTTAAAAATAAGTATCACTCATTTTAGACAGTGATGAGGCAATTTTTTTCCCTGTCATAGAATCATAAGTCATTGGAACAGTCTTCCTCAAAAGGCAATAGAAGCAAAATCCTTGTAAAGTTTTAAGGCAGAGGGAGATAGATTCTTGAAAAACAAGGGGATAAAAGGTCATTGGGCATAGATGGAATATGGAGTAATCAGATTAACCATGATTTTATTGAATGTTGGAGCAGGCTTGAGAGGCTGAGTGTCCTAATCCCGTTCATTGTTTGTACGTTCAAAATGGGAAATCTTACTCTTGGTGCGGGTGGATAATTGGGCAAAGCTCATGCTAGGACTGAAGGTGAAAAGCAAAAGGAATTTGTAAACTGATTAGAAAAAAGTGTCAGGATTTTTTTAATCGTTTATTGATATAATCTTAAGATTCTTTACAGTAGCCAAAGAGGATTCTGTTTGTCAGAAAACAAACAATTTGCACAAAAGGAGGCTGTTAATCTGCCTCATAATCTCATGGAAAAGGATACTGGAATTTTAAATCTTGGAAATCAATTTGAAGATAAAAGTAATTCTGCATTTAAGCGGGAGGAGAATAACTTAGATGTTTGCCTGCTTCAGAATTTCTTTACAGGGTTGGACATGACAAAACCTGGAAACTTGGAAGAGAATGGTAATCAGGTGTTAAAAACTGAACTGGTGATTAAGGGATTGTATTAAAAGAGCAACCAAAATTCCTGAATAATATATGCTTTTAAAAAAGAGTGGAGAGAATTACTGCGTCCGTGGGTAAGAAGCAATGTGACAGAGAATTATGTCTGAGTTTACGATTTACACTTACCTGAGAGCCTGTGGAATTATCAGAGAGAAACATAGTTAACATTTCAGGTTGATGACTGCCCATCTTAACTTTTTTGATGGGAAGGTGATCCGCCTGAAACATTCACTCTCTTTCTCTCTCCACAGATGGTGCCTGATCTATTGAGTATTTCCAGCATTTCCCGTTTTCATTTCAGATTTTCAACACCCACTGTATTTTGCCTTTCATTTAATGTGTTGCCATTTTGTAGACTGCTAAAGAGGAATGGTCTGAAACATTATGGGCAGATCTAAATGTACAACTGCTTCAAGAAGGAATTGATGGGTTTCTGAAAGCTTTCAGAAAACTACCAAAAGATGTCCGCAGCCTCTCAGTTGGTTTCCATCTGGAATCTCAGATGAAAGAATTTAAGGAATCCATTCCTTTGTTATTGGACTTGAAAAATGAGGCATTAAGAGAGAGGTTAGTTACATTATCTTTTTAGATTGCTTCAATCAAAGTATAAATAGACTTCATAAACTCAAGCACTCCACATTAGCATGAAAATCAAGCTCCACATTAGCTCGAATGATCTACATTGACCTGAGTACTCTATGCTAGCGTCAGTGCTCTACTTTAGCTCAAGTTCTTCGCATTCATTTGAATAGTGCTTCATGCTAACTTGAGTACTTCACATTAATTCAAGTGCTCCACATTAGCTCGTGTACAAATGAACATGTGAATTAATAACAGCAGTAGAACATTTGGATCCTATAGCCTGCTCAGTCATTCAATAAGATCACAAATGATCTGATTGTGGCCTCAACTCCAAATTCCTGCCTATCCCTGATACCCTTTGACTCCCTTGTTAATCAAGAATCTACCTCTATCTTAAAAGTATTCAATGACTCTGACCATTTTAATAGGGTCACCATTCATTTTTCTAACCTCCAACAGATACAGACTCAGCCTGTCCAATCTTTCCTCATTGGTATCTACGTAGACCACAACAGCTGGATCTTTCCTCTCCCACTCCAAATTCCTCTGCAGCCCGGATGAGATATCATTAACCCGGGCACCAGGCAAGCAACACAGCCTTTGGAACTCTTGATCCTGGCCACAGAAAATAGTGTCTGTATATCCCCATTACTCTACATTAGTTTGAGTATTCCACATTAGCTTCAGTACACCACATCAGTTTAAATATTTTGTATTTGTTTGAGCTTTGTATTATGGCTTGAATATTCCAATGTAATCCACCTACTCCACAAACAATGCGCAAACCCTCATAAATACAATTTAATTTCTAGGCACTGGAAAACGTTAATGGCAAGGACAGACACACAGTTTGAGATGCAAACTGAAACATTTACATTAGCGAATATGTTTGCTATGCAACTTCACAAATACAGCGACGTTATAGGTGATATTGTTACCGCAGCCGTCAAAGAACTTGGTATTGAGAAGGTGAGCTCTAATTTGAAAACTAATACTTAATTCCTACCTTTTGAAGATTTGAGCTGTATTCCCTGATCCCATTTCCTCACTCCTACACATTCTACAATACTCTCTCCTTGATGTCCCTCCCTTGGCTGGATTGTCTTCAGGGGTCTCACCTGCTGGCTGAAGAGTCAGTGAAAGACCCATGTTGCCTCCTGTGAGAAGGTCTGCCTATATGTCTGATGAAGGGTCTAGGCCCAAAACGTCAGCCTTCCTGCTCCTATGATGCTGCTTGGCCTGCTGTGTTCATCCAGCTCTACACCTTGTTATCTCAGATCTTCTAGCATCTGCAGTTCCTACTCTCTCTGCCTATATGTCGTGTAGTTAAGTAGGTTTCTCAGGCTGAAAGACATTGGAGGTGGGAATCCTGCTGGTTAGCCAGAGGCTAGCAGGTCTTTTGAACAGCCCTGCCAATGGGAGGCATTGCATGTGTTTAGAACAGCAGCTACTGGAGGCTTGTGTCAAGGAATGACCAAGGCCACAGGTAGGTAAAGGCAGGAAAAGCTTTGTAAGGTGGGGACCTCTGAGAGAGGTATGTAGGGAATGTAAACAGCAAGGCAAGGATTTGTCTCTGAGTGGGCCCTGTTCTTCCCGATTAGGTGCTGAATGTCTTTGAATGAAGGGGAACTCCCAAACACCCCCACCCCAACTCTACTCTGACCGTGTGTGAGACTTCAAACTGCCATACAATTTACCTGTTGAGCCTGATGCATATTGACATGTTCAACCCCATGGCATTAATCCCAGCAGCCACAGCTCAAGGCCTTTCAGCAGTCATTAATTGGCCACGTTAGAATTTCAACAAATCGACCGTGCACCTTCCCACTGCTGACTGAATTCAGGTGGCAGGGTGGGAGGATTATGGTGGAGTTTAGGCATGTTACCATCCTGCTTAATTAAATACCCTTCCCATCTCTAAACACACCATGAACAGGCAATAAAATTCTACCCCCAGTGATCTCTCAGCACGACCCATGTTCCCTTTGAGTATATCAAATTTTATACAAAATGATTTCTTTTTCAATTGAAGGTTTAAAATGCTGCATGATGCTGACAGGTGCTGACATGTTAATCATTAAACCTGATATACACAGACCAAACCCCACATGCCACTAGTTCAAAATCCAAAATGTACAATGAATGATATTAACATGTGTAAATCACCCCACAATTTACACCAGTTTTGAAGTGTAAACACCTGAAAAATGGTAGGCTAACTGGGTGATAAAAGGTTTTGAAGAAAGTCATATTATGGTTGAAAGCAAGACTTTATAACTGCTGAGTATGCCTGTTCTATTTGTAACTAGGGCGTCAAGGAGGTTGTGGATACCTGGGAAACAATGAAATTCACTGTGCAAAAATACTACAAAGGAACTCAGGATCGAGGCTACATTCTGGGATCGGTGGACGATATACTTCAAATACTCGATGACAATGCCATGAATCTGCAGAGCATGGCTGGAAGCAGATTTGTGGGTCCTTTTCTGAGAACAGTGCAGGAGTGGGAGAGAAATCTGTCCCTAATTGGTGAAGTGATTGCGGTAAGGAATCTGCAGATGAGTCTGGCTGTAAACAAGTACAATGGTTAGCCCCAACCTTACAGCATGCGACTGTTTCCAAAATCAGATATATCTGAATAATAAATTATTATAGGTTGCACAAGGCTTTTGAAAACACAGGAGCATCTATTTAGCTTCAGTTACGTTTATTGATTGAGGTTGACTTTAGATCAGTGGGTTTCCAGCTCTGATATAAAGTCCACATGACAATGCCATGAATCTGCAGAGCATGGCTGGAAGCAGATTTGTGGGTCCTTCTTTCTATCTTTCTATTTGACAGAATCAGAAGGCTGATGTTCCGAGCATTTTCTGTTTTTATTTGAGATATTGAAATTGTGTTTATGTGAAATAGGAGTAAGAGGAGGTAATATATGTTCCCAAGCCTGTTCCTCCAATTAGTGAGATCAACCTAATCTGTGACTTAATTTCATAGACTTTCCTTTTTGCCATTTCCCTTAGTCTTTCTTTTATACATTTAGAGGATTTGGACTTTACTGGCTAGGTCAGCATTTGTTGCCTGTCTGCCCTTGAGAAGGCTAACAAAATCTATCAGTCTCAGACTTAAAATGAGAAATTCATCTAGCATCAATTGCCAAGAGTTAAATGAGTTCCAAACTTAAATCATATTTTTAAGTGTGATTCTTTCCCAGTTCCACTTCTGAAAAATCTGCCTTTAAATTCTAGACCACATTCCCTAACCTTAGACTCCTCAACTATTGAAAATAATTTCATACTTTCTACCGAATCAGACATTCTTAATATTTTAAAAAGTTTAATGAAATCAACCTTTCTTGGGCTAATTTCCCATTTCAACTAAGCATAAACTATAAATTTGACAGTTGTAGAATATTTTGTACGTGGATATCAATAAAAAAAGCATTTTCTCCCTGTTGTGATGAAATGTGATACATTGGGGTCTCCATTTCAACAGTGTGAAGGCCTGATGGGGAAAATCATATTACATGGTGCATGGCAGTTGCTGATGATTCAGTGCACTTGCTGCAATTTCAATTCATGCTATGAAAGGTTGGTGCTGACAATCTAGATCATACCCTAGTTAAAGATGTGTGAAATTTTCTCAAAAGATTGGTTTAAAGATCTGAAGTTTACTTTTCTGTCTGGAATTTTAATGAAAGCATATTACGGGGTAAGAGAAGAAACTATTCATGCAGCTGGCTGCAGTTAAACTAGCAGATATAGGTGTTCTGCAGCATTGCAGCATCCCTTCCTTTACTAGAATTAACTTAACTTGTGGCTCAGAATCATGGTATATCATTAAAGAATGCAGCTCTAACAATTCTAAATATTATTGAAAGAATGATATTTTTGCAAGGACTGTCACTATAGTGTAGATTTTCCATCAGAGAGTAACTGACAATTATCCTCTGTAGGTTTGGTTGGTGGTGCAAAGAAAATGGATGTATCTGGAGAGCATCTTCATAGGGGGTGACATCCGATCACAACTGCCAGAGGAAGCAAAAAAATTCGATAACATTGATAGAATATTCAAAAAGGTAGTACTTAAAATTCTTTGGATGCTGAGATGAAATCAAATAAATGATTTTTGCGTATTTGAAAATTGCAGTTTTGATGCCCAGCTCCTTTTAAATTTACGCAGTAGCAGCTATACTGGTAGCTGATAACGAGCTTTCATCTCATGCTGTTAGCCTTTCTGCTCCTATGATGCTGCTTGGCCTGCTGTGTTCATCCAGCCCTGCACATTGTTGTCTCGGATTCTCCAGCATCTGCAGTTCCTACTATCTCTGAATCCAATTTCTTCCTGCTTCCATTCATGGCTCTCTGAGACCCTCTGACCTTTGTATCTTCAGCCTCAAATGAAGCCCAGCAGATAGACACAGCATGCTAATTTTGTGCCTTCTGTGTTCAACATTGAGATCAACAATTTTAACCATAACCACTGTTTTGTGAACAGTGATTGTTGGAATGATTCTGCTATGAACATTCACCCCTTCTCTAGACCCATGTTTTGTTTTTTCCCTTGCTACATTACAGCCCCCTTCTGCCAATTGCACTAATATCCTTTTTGTCATTTAATGTCTCTGACCCTCCATCCTGTCATCAGTCTTTCCTTTTTGTAACTTCCTCCTCTCCTTCCTTTCCCTGCCTCTTTACCTGTTTAAAAGCTGTTTGATCTTTAATGTACAGAAAGTCACAGATCTGAGAAGTAACTCCGTTTCTCTCTTTGCATTTGGTGTCTTAGCTGTTGATTATTTCCAGCAAAGGGGAGTCGATGGCCTAGTGGCATTGTTGCTGGACTGTTAACCCAGAGACCCAGATAATGTTCTGGGGACCTGGGTTTGAATCCCACCAGGGCAAATGGTGGAAATTGAATTCAATAAATATCTGGAATTAAAGAGTCTAATGATGACCATGAATCCATTGTCAATTGTTGGTGGTAAATACCCATCTGGTTCACTAATGTCCCTTTAGGGAAGGAAATTGCTGGCCTAAATGTGACTCCAGATCCACAGCAATGTGGTTGACTCTTAACTGCCCTCTGGGCTATTGGGGATGGGCAATAAATGCTGCCTGAACAACGATGCCCTCAACCTGTGAATGAATAAAGAAAAAAAAAGTTCTGGTAAATCTCTGCTGCATCCTCTGCAAGGTTTTGACATCCATTATTTTAAAGGGTTAAGCAACTTTCTTAATTTTGTGATAGTAGGAACTGAAGAAGGGTCCTGAACCGAAATGTCAGCTTTCCTGCTCCTCTGATGCTGCTTGGCCTGCTGTGTTCATCCAGCTCTACACCTTGTTTTCTTAATTTTGTATTCTGTTTCTCTGTTAGTAAAACCAGTATCTTATGTGCATTTTTAACAACGTGCTCAACATTTTGCAGGTCTGCACCCTTTACTAGTGCTTATATTCCACATGAGCCTTCTCACATCCTCGTTCATCTCACCCCATCACAACGTATTATTCTGAACCTTTCTTCCCCATGTGCTTATTCAGCTTCTGTTTAAATGCATCTATACTGTTTGCTGTAACCATTTTATGTTTAGCCTGAGGATTGACTAAAGCATGCCTCAGGACTAATGAGGTAGAAAGCAAAATATGCTTAATATACATGCTGCCTAAATTGGTTTCTGCTTCAGGATCACAGCAATTATTCAAAAGCAATGAAGAATTTTGATAAATCAGAATAAGTTACTTTCACTGGTTTACAGTTTGGTAACTGTAGACAACATCACTAAATAAACAAAGGGAACTGAAGATCTTTTTCCTCAGATAGATGTTAGGATATGGGCTGTCCTACCAGAAACAACTAATTGGAAAAGGCTTTACTAGAGAATGAAGAAAATGATGAAAAACAGGAAACTAATGTGTCTCAACAGCCTATAGGCAAACTTATTCAACACTGCTTTCACAGGTGCTCAGGCCAGTATTTTTCCAAAGCCTCAGCCCTTCAAATATTAGCATCCTCCATGGTCACAATACAAGCCTCATCATTCAAGCATTTCCTGCTCCACCTTGCTTTGTAAGATAATTTGTTGCAACATAAACAATTCCATTGATTAATTGCAGACACATACCCTGCTTTCTTCATCATGCCCACCTTTGTGATCTTTTCCAAATTACTCCTGTAGTATCTAGACTTTTACATTTGGGATTGACAATCTTGTCCCATCCAACTTTATGTACAGTGGCTGTGCCTGGTTCAGCACCTTTGGATATTTGTTGGGTACATTAAGGACTTAGGCTTTCCAGGGTTGTGTGACACCATTGTTGCAGGAAAAATAATTCTATCCAGAAACATTTTCAGAATTGTTTTATTACAAACAATCAACTTGTTACACAAACTCGATGGGCTGATTGGCCTACTTCTAATTCTACCACTGTGTAGAGCTGGATGAACACAGCAGGCCAAGCAGCATTCATAGGAGCAGGAAAGCTGAAATTTCTGAAGAAGGGTCGAGGCCCAAAACATCAGCCTTCCTGCTCCT